TAATTTTTTTTAGCTTTTTTTGAAGTTTATGTAAATGTTTTCATAAGATACAGCTTTATATCCTTTCAGTTTGAAATGATTTGCACGTGTCTTCACGATTTGATATAGGTAAATGTGTGTGTATCTTTAAAGAAAACATGTTTTTTTCAATATACAGGTACAAATAAAGACTGCATTAAATGTTCAGAAACAACTACCTTCAAGTTATCCATCGGTGTTCTTGGTACAATAACAGCTATAGTTTTTGGTCTCATGGTACTGTCCTATACCGAAGCTAGACACGCAGCAATGTCGTTGTCAAGGAAACACCGGAAATCGAAGACCGGAAGCGACTACAGTAAAGATTCGAGTGTGTCTCCTTCATCTTGTTCAGTAACAGGAAGTGACGATAAAAGAAATAGAAGCTGACTGTCAAGAAAGTGATGTGTTTTTTCGCATATGTCGAAAGCAACATTCAAATGAAAAATAGCCAAAAGATCAAGTTGATAATTTCTTTTTTTCTACGACTTTTTCCTTCATTTTTTCTTTTTTATGAAATGAGCTCAATTATTTTAATACAATATTATGAATTATTTTAGTTACTTTTAACAATGGAGAGCCCTTGACACTCTCCAACTCTCCAGTTCATGCCGAGCACAACAGCTCAACAAAATTTAAGATCCCATTTTCCTGACTTGAATTTTATGTAACTCTTGTAACAGACACTAATAGTATAACCAATATTTATCTCCCTTGTTAATGCGGGTATATCTTTGTCGGGTTATATATTGTTGTAATGAAGGTACATGAATGCTTTAGTCTCAATACTTCTATAGGTTAATATTTACATTTATTATATACTTTAAATTAAATATTGAGAAATATTGATGAAATAAAACTCGTATTTTCATATTCCATATTTTTACTTTAAAATTTTATTTTTCACTGCAGTGAAACCTATTTTCCGTATTTTTACTGGTGTCTTGCATGACTAAACTCTTCCAATTTCAGCCAATGCACAGATTTTAAGGGGAAGTCTTTCAAATTGTTATGTTAAAAATGTGAAAATTGTATATAAACATAGAAAATTCAAGTATTTTTCTATAAATACAGGATTTATTTTCATATTGTGGTATGAAAATTATTATATTTCACTCGTGGCTTCTGCCACTTATGAAATATTTATTTTCTTACCACTTGATGAAAATAAACGGTATATTTGTAGAAAAAAACTTGAATGTCATCTATGTATTATTATGAAATATGTTTGTTAAATACATATTTTATGTGCTTTAAAAACTGTAACATACAAAAATGAGAAATACACTTTTATGTTTAAAAAGCGGCAATTCTTTAAAGGGTATAAAGTCAACATACATTTGAGCCGCGTCACGACAAAACCAACATAGTGGGTTTGCGACCAGCATGGATCCAGACCAGCCTGCGCATCCGCGCAGTCTGATCAGGATCCATGCTGTTCGCTTACAAACTATAACAAGTAGAGAAACCGATAGCGAACAGCATGGATCCTGATCAGACTGCGCGGATGCGCAGGCTGGTCTGGATCCATGCTGGTCGCAAAACCCATTATGTTGGTTTTGTCGTGGCGCGGCTCATTTATAATTCATGAACTTTAAACTTGTGTTTTTTCAATAACGTTATGGTTGAATCCCGGAAGAGTTGTAACATGGACTGTCTTTTTTTATTCAACATACATGAAGTGTTTATACGTAAATAGAGGAAAAGCTTCCGAAACACGATATTATGTTTCTATTTTAAAGCCAGAAACAAATAAAAAAAATTCTTTAGAAGAGGCAAATATGAGTTGTTGGGGTTTTTTTAACATTTAAATAAAAGGATTTTAGAACATGTTAGACACTAGTCATTTGAAGAAAAAAAAGCGCAGAATGTGATCTTATTTTTCATAAAAGTAGAAATGTAAACATGTAAACAAAGTAGTAGTACATTGTATTTTAACTTCCATACAAATTACTTAATCACTATAACTATACTAATTGCTAAAGGCGATATACGCATCAGATGAGTTGTTCCATGTAATTGGCCTTTTTTTCCATTTTTTTTTTTGAAACCGTAACAAGACATCAAAAGCAAAAAGATTTTGAGAAATGGGCCTTTAAGCATGTCTTTTAACGTTTAGCATGGCCATGACTTTTTAATGAAACACACAAGCGTATTCCGTTCATAAAGGTGTTTTTAGTAGTATTTTGGAATAATACATTTTTCAAAATTCAAAATAAAAAAATAAAAAAAACAACAAAAACAAAAAGTTTGTAAAATTCATGTAGCAGATATATAGCTTTGTACACTTTAAAACGTCCAATTAGCTATACTTCTGTTACATGGCTACTTTGTCTGTAATAAATAAGGGTAGTTAAAATATCAATGATGTTATTCCGAACACAAGAATTGAATCGCTAATAATCTCAGCCGAAAATGTTGTGTACATTTATTTTAAAAAAAAGTTTTTTGGCAACCAATTTCGACATACGTGCGTTCGTTTCAGCTATATTAACTTTCTTTTATTATATTATTCGTTCATCATCTTATTCTTTCATTATATTATTATTTTATTCTTTCTAAAGATACAGCTTGGACAAATTAATTTAAAATGCAACATTGTTCTTAAGTTAAATAGCAAATGCAACAGTCTTTCATTAGAACAATAATTGCATAAAAACTGAATAACTGATAGGTAAAAAATCATTTGTATAAGTCGGGTGTGGTAAAACAGTTTCGTATGACTGCACATAAAATCCACCGAATTGTGACTGTCTATTTCACGCATGAATTTCTACATACTACGCCTAATAAGTATATACCAACATAAAATACATCTGTTAAAATCTTATATTGAGCTTTAAAGTCCATTTTAACCTATACAAGTTTGTTAAAGAGACTCCAATGAGAGTTTATGACATGAAAGGAGTGGAAACATGTTTTTTCGGCACTTGTGACCATTTGACGTAAGATTGTACTCCTGAAGAGTTTGAATTTCATGTGTATTGCAAATCATCTAACATGTTTTGCCACTCACTGTTGTGTTCATAGACATCAGGTTGTTCTTTTCATAGTTTTCAGGTTGATATTTTCATATTGTTTGATTTTATTTACCTGTCAATTCCATACTGATTAACGGTCAATGCACAGAATATATTAATATTCGATAAATGTTCGGTAAATTCCGTGAGATGTTCGCAGTAAGATGTGGTTAAATTCATTTTGTTTCTATTAATTAGTTACACTGACACGTTATAACGCAGTAGGGTGAGCTACTGGTATATACTATATAAATGCCTTATGTGTTGTAAGATCGAGACAGCGTATGTCCAGTATTTTTTCTTATTCATAACTATTTTCAACCTTTTTTAAGTTATGGTTGTTCCGTTTTTAATATGTTTTGCACTTTTTTGTAAATACTATACATTTGTTATATATAAATGTATAGTATTTACAAAAAAGTTTAAGAATTAATACTGAAAATTCATTCCGATTTAAATCAATAAATGTAATTATACTATACAAATGTGACAATTCAGTGTTTCTTAGTTGGTTCATATCCGTGTAGACAAATTGCAAGCGCTTGACCATTTTCATTAATATATACATAAAAATAAAGAAAGAATAAGTCTAAAAAGAGTGTCAAAAAAGGGATCGAACCTCGGACCCCTCATGCATTAGGTAATCACTTAACCGACTGTGCTATTGCAGATGTTACAAGAACCTACATTAATCTAGTGGGACTTTCCAAACGTAAGTAATATACTCCATATTAATTCTCGTAAGATAAACGAACAAACCCGAAGTGGGATCGAATATTTAAATGAGTGCTATAATGTATTCATAATTGACAGGTCAATAAGATCTGACTATACTATGTAAAATCGCACTGAATTTATTGACTCTGGTTTTCTAACAATGTTAATTTAACTTCTTAAGGGCCTAAAGTATTGAAAAGTTTGTGTTACAGTGTGCACGAAGTCGAAACATTTTGAGTATCTTTATCGCATCAATGAGGCCTATAGAAGACCGCGAACAGTTAAGGAGGGGGCTTTGGTGCAAATCTCTTACCTGTTATTACTTAAGCTTGTTCTCGACCAAACTGGTCGCCCTCGGTTTGGAAATCGCAATATTCTATCTAACCCCTTACATCCAACCTGATCTCTTCGGCTATTATGCTTTGCTATAGACCTTTGTCATAATAGGGCGACATATTGGAACTACTTTACCACATGATAAAACTGTGGCCTCCATGGGTCACATTTGTGTCAAAGTAAATGTGTTCTTTTACACAGTTGAAGAAAGAGTCACAGTGATACTATGAACGATCGTAAAAAGGAATACTCTGAATACTAACAGACATGTCATTTGTTACTTTTTCTGCGTGTGAACTTTGTCTTAATAGCTCGGGCCATTCGCGTTGGTGTATTCGTCTCTCTTATCCGAACTATACGAGAAGTGCCGATGTTTAACGATTGCCCCAACGCTACGTGAAGTTGAAAAGGTTCCGTGGAGGCATGAAAGGCAGTGAGAATATATTGTATTCGGTAATAAGTGAAACGTGACTACCATTAGTTTAGTATGATTTTATATATGTTGGGTTCATTTAACCGTGACATTTGAAGTTACAATTTCGTTTCATAGGATTTTTCATTTTATCAAAGGTAATCTAATAAAGTTTTATTTGTATTAAATGTCAATTTCCGTTTTTATCAAAATGATTCTTTAATGCAGAAATGCTTTTTTTTAGATATATTTACATTGTATATATATATATATATATCTTTTATTAAGTAGTAAGCCATTTATGGCCCATGTACATGCAGCAATATAACATTCAATGTTGAAAACAATATGTAATTATATAGGTGTTAACAATATTGTACTGAATATACATGTAGGTAATCATATATCAATGACAGATTTATTTCTACATTTCATTTCTATACTAACATACAATCATGTAGGGAGAGACAAAGCATCTATTTATAGAAAACATGTAAACATAGTTAGTATAATATTATAACCACATGTGTACATTTCTTTTTTTAACATTTAAACATATAACTAAATTGTTGATAGCAGCAATGTTCTTTTTTCAAATGCATTGTAAATATAAGCTGCTAACTTCTTTATGTCGACTACATTTGTGGTATTAATCAACTCTACAAATTTAATATAATTTGGATGAACCCAGTAATTTCTATTTATATACTGACGCCTGAGATCAGCGTAAAGTGTACACTCAATAATAAAATGAAATTCATCCTCTAGTACATTGCAAAATTTACACTTTCTTTGTTCAATTGGTGTGCTTATAGGTTTTCTCCATCTACCTGTTTCAATTTCTAACCTATGGGATGACATTCTCAATCTAGACATTGCCTTTCTATATTTTTCTACATTTAAAACATTTAAGTAATTCTGAAAATTAAAACTAGAAATTGTTCTGTAAAATAATGCTCTTGATGATTCCTGTAAACTTGCATTCCAGTCCTGTTGGTATATATCGTACAATCGTGTATTTAAAATATTCAAAAATATATTGACATCACCAACTCCTTGTTTAACCAAACATCATAAAATCCTAATCTAGATAATAACCTTTTACATTGTATACCCAACTTATATGATTAGGATGGGATTCAAGATCACTTTTTAAAAACATTGTACATTTTCTTTGCATATTTAACATCATCACTTTGACATAACTTTAACCAGTACCGTATTATATGTAAATATCTATGAGTAATATAAGAGACTCTTCCGGTTTCACCATAAACAAATGCATTTTGACAACTTATTTTAACACCTAATAATCTTTTGCAAAACATAAGATGCGCTCTTTCTATATGAGTAGCTTTGTGAAATCCCCATACTTCAGAACAATAATTCATTACAGGCGTTACTAATTTATCATACAAATTTAACATATGTTTAGGTGTGATTGGTGTGAACTTATACAAATATTTATCAAGTTGAAAAGTTGCTTTCAAAGCTTGGCCTGCTAACATTTTGTCCATTCATTAAAAAACACCTCCTGTCGTAAATATAACACCCAGATATTTAAAACTTGCTAACAATTTCTATATTTTCATCATTATAAGTGAATACTAAATTTTCAGGAAGACGTCCAGCTTTTCTAAAAATCATAATTTTTGTTTTCTTAGTATTGACAGTAAGCTTCCATTTAGAACAATATTCTTGTAACACATTTAATGAATTTTGTAAGCCATCTGCAGAATGAGAAAAAATAATACAATGTCATCCGCATACAATAGTAAACATAGTTTCATGGTACCAATATCAATGCCTTCTATACCTTTATTTATAAATATATCTTCTATATCGTTTAAAAACATGCTAAACAGGAAAGGTGATAGACATTCACCTTGACGGACCCCTAAATGACACTCAAAAAACTTCACTTAAAGAGTTAAAAACTTTAACTTGTGATTTTACACACTCATACATTGACTTAATCACATTTAAAATGTTCCCTCTTATTCCTAATTTAATAAGTTTGTACCACAAAATATCTCTTACCACAAAATCAAAGGCCTTTTGAAAATCAACAAATGCACAAAAAAGTTTTTCTTTATTGTTTAACGTATAAGATATAAGGCTGCTTAAAACAAAAATATTATCTACTGTACTCATATTTTTTCGAAAAACCGGCCTGCGCCTCTATATAAACATTATAATTTTCGGCCCATGCATTCAACCTGTTATTCAAAATTCTACTGAACAGTTTACCTAACACACTTAATAGGGTAATACCTCTATAATTACTTGGCTCCCTTAAGTCACCACTTTTAAAAATTGGCACAATAAAACCGTCGCTCCATGCACTTGGAAAATAACCCATATTTAAACATTTATTAAATAATTGGAATAAATACGGTAGTAATATGTCTATACCATGCTTAAAAAATTCATTGAGTAATAGATCGGGTCCTCCACTAGCACTGTTCTTAAGCTGTTTAACTGCTTTTACAATTTCTAAGTTACTTATCTCTGCGTCTAATTCAGAAAACATTACTTGAAGTTCCCCATTTAAATATCTATCGTTAAAAAATAACATATCTTCATCTGCCTGGTAAAAAGTATTTTCCGGGTTATTAGTGGCTTTAAAATATCTGGCGAAATGTTCAGTTGAAGGTGACATTGAATTAACGGTATTACCAGATAACCCTTTCAACATTTTCCAATACTGCTTTGCATTTTCAACCCTGGCTTTAATCAATTTATTTGTATTTAATTGTCTATATCTATAACGCTTTTCCCTTAACATGTGTTTATACTGCGACCTTGCTCTGCACATATTTACTTTATTACTATCACTTTTACAATTTCGATACACATTTAGGCATTTATAGAAAAAGTCTCGTTTTGACGCACATTCATCGTCAAACCATTTTTGCTTCATATCTATAACAGGAGTATTTACTGGGTTTTTCGGTACATGCTTAAATAGTGGGGAGCAAACTCTGTCAATTATAGTTAAAAAACAAGATATGTTTTCGTCCACATCATTGCTATTTACTACAGCGTTTAATTCAGATGTAAGATTATTTATTTGTTGTAACACTAAATCCTCAGACAGATTTCGTTTATAATCATGTAACTTATCTGTATTCCATTTATACGTATATTCTATATTGCTACAAACATTTTCATCTAACAAATCTATAACTTGCAATTTTGCAGAAAGGCTAAATGTTACTACACAATGGTCAGATAATATATTAGGATCTAGCACTTCAAAGGAATCACACAATTTAAAAATATTTCCACTTGCTAATACATAATCAACTAAACTATTTCCGAGCGGACCAATAAATGTGTATTTCCCTATATTTGCATCTTTTCCTATACGACCGTTTAGTATTCTGAGGCCAGATTGCTTACAAAAGTCTAAAAGCAATGTTCCATTCTGGTTTGTCCCAAAATCTTGAGACATTCTTGGTAAAACATGATCTGGTACATAATTATCAGGTAGAAAGGAGCTAATATGTATATCTAATTCATCATCATTGACATAATCATTCAACTGACCAACTCGGCTATTTAAATCCCCTAGAAATATAAAAGAACAATTATCATTTGTGATACTACTAATTTTTACCATTTCATTTAAAACTCTATCATATATATTTGACAAAATGAAAGCTTCTCTTGAGCTTCCTTTCGGTACTACATAACAAAGACACAAAAATATATCATTATGTAAATCAAATACTGAACCGTCAATTTTCAGCCATAAAATATCATCGCTATCTGTGCTGTATAAAGACACAAAATCAATCAAGTCAAGTTTTACGTATACAGCAACGCCGCCAGAGTTTCTTTTACTATAGCTATTTTTCTCCGACCGATGTAGACTAATGACTCAAAACCGTCAACCTTCATGTTAATATATTCACTCGACCAAGTTTCTGTCAAGAAAATCATACTGTAATCATCGAATAAAGTCCGTAATTCGGGTGTTTCTAGCTTATTTACATTTTTGGAAACGAGACACTGTACATTTAAAAGTGCACATTTAATAGGTTGTCTCTCCCGATTGTCCTATTGTCCGGTGATTTTCTCGTGATTTTCGATTAATACGGAATTAGGTGAAAAATTATGACCGTCCGTGCCACTACCGTTCACTTATAGAGGCTATTCGTTGCCAAAAATCCAGCCTTTGAAACTTGACAATGCATACTTCGGTTCTACTAAACAGAAAAGTAAAAATCTAATTGTCGATCCGAGAGTTACATACTGCACTGGTATAAAGCATTTTGATTATCTCGATTTGATAAAATGAAAGCTGTTAACATGCAACTTAGATAAATTGCAAACTGTATTTATAAATGTATAACTTCATATTTGCGACATGTAGAAATGTAAACAATAGAACGTACACAATACGTTCATGGCTGTGCATCATGACGTTGAGAATGTAACTGCATCAACTTGACACACTCAGGTTTACAACACCACACTTTCCTTTTACATTCTAACGCGATTAACATTTGTAAACGATTTTGCAACTTCCATATATGGAATTATCACGGAAATAGACGAAAATTAATAGTCGGAGCCAATTTCACGAAAGCAGAATATAAAGAGAGGTAACTCTTGCGGGTACAAAAATATTTCAAATTATATAGAAACTGTTACATCACTCTTGACTTTGAACATCCTCTGATTTTGTTAAAACCTATTCTAGTACAGGATACTCAAGTAATGCAAAATTGGTTAAGATATAATGTAAAAATGTAACAACGTATATACTGATAATGAGCATAATAATATGCAAAAACTAAAGTTTGTGAAATAACGTAAGGAAATGTTTCCCATATATAACGACACACACCACTGATTAGTGATATCACTGATAGGGTTTTGTAAGCCACGGCAATACTCTTTTTTTTACCTTCAGAAAAAATAGTACTAGAATGCGATACATGGAAGGCACTTTTGGCAACACGAATAAAGAGAACTGAACAATAAGCTTGTGCCTTCTTTCTTTAAAGGAGTATTTTGGGTGCAAATTTTTCTATCGATTATTCCGTTGTATAACCAAAACTTGTGAATTTGTCCCATTTTAATGTTGAAATAAATATTCAGTGTATCCTGGCAACTCTGTTTACCTCCATTGGGAGGTATTTTGAGTCATAGGATGTGATTTAGCCTTTTATTGTTAAATATAACAATAAATGTAAGCTGGCGTAGGTTAAGGTCTTTTTTATGCATTATGCTGAATCAATAGCACCTCTAAAATATGTGTATACATGCTGTCATTAGCTGTTACCTAGATTTGCTGTCTAAATTTGTTGTCTATATGACCAAAAACAGAGAACTACTTTTATGTACATGAAATACTACACAGAATATTTATTAAGTTTTGTAAGTGATGGCTTTCTAAGAGATAAAATAAACAAGGTATACATAAATTGATAATCAACACACATACATTTGGACTCATTTAAATTTTACTTATTGAAAAACAAAATGGGAAAAATAAAAAGTTATGTACGAAAGGGTACATACAACTTTGGTTATAATTTTACTATTGTTAAAAGTTGTTTTACTTGTCAAGTCATACGTTAGAATTAAGGTTACTAATATAATAGTACAACTAGGAAAGACAACAGCCAGAATTTGGTCTGTATTAGTAATTAGTCGTATCAAAAATCTCTATCAGAAGTTGACTTGAAAATTTGAAAGTGGTAAGGTAGCAGCCTAACTGTAAATATTACTCATTCCTATGCAAATTGGAATACCATCAGTAAAATTTATTTGTCGTTGAATATAGTCTTTTCAATAGTTTTCACTTCCTTGAAAAATATTTAACCTCAGACAGTATGTAACCTGGTGTTTTTTTGGGTTTTTTTAAGTTTCTTTTTCCAGGAAATGTGGTGTCTACAACGATTTAAAACTTATATGCCTATATTCCTTTAAAGTCCGCTGATGTTGATTGTAGGCAATCATGCAAGTGAATAATGTTAAGTAACTAAACACCTAAAAGGTATGATAAACGGAAACTACGCCGCTTCTTGTCGCCGACGGTAAATACCGAAAATGAGCGGAAAATACGTTTATTTACGATGATTTAGTGGGCGGGAAAATGGGCGGAGCTTATTTTATCTCCTATTGAAAAACGTGTAAAGCTGGATTATGCTGATCTGAATCATGATGGTTCGACAATGTAAAGCTAATAATGTAACTTCTGTTTTGAGTATTCGAACACTTGGTATTGCTACTATCAGTTAATGTTTTGTCGTTTAACAAATTGTATTTTGTTGAAATGCATGTTTACAATGTTAAATCAGCAAACTCAATCCAAGTTTGCAACATTGGAGTTTACATACAAAGAAATACAATTGTATTTTTTCCATTAACAAACTATTCAACTCAGATCAACAAGGCTGGATTTTTGGCAACGAATAGCCTCCATATTCACTAGGTTGTCACGCTCCACGTGCCGTCTGTCGTCTACTGTTAAAGCAGACGATACAATGCTAAAATGGGGTATATTTGGCGAGCTAGAGGCAGTTCCCGCTGTTACTTGGCTATACGTAGGAAGGGACTGAATTCGTGGTGGTATGCGATATGTTTGATTTCGACTATCACTAGGATGCGCCGGCGATTGTGAAAATTGAGGGTTGCTAACTGAGTTATCGGCTTCCGTTGAAACAGAGTAGACACTTTGGTTATGTTTACTATGCGAACTATTTTGACCCATAAACATTTTACACCTGTCTTGGTTCAAGATTTCATGCCAGTCGGGGAACTCGTCTGCTATAACTCGTCCCTTTACAATGAGTTTACAATATAGTAAGTTTTATTTATTTAATAAATTGTTCAACGACTTTTGACCATTTTAGAATTCACGGATAACAATGATATGGACCTGTCAAATCACCTGTTGGTGCAAGTCTAATATCATACTGCTGCATTAGTTATGAGGTTCTGATGTGACAAAAGTTGTGGGGGTCATTATCATTATCATTATTATTATTATCATTATTATTATTATTATCATTATCAAACTTACTAGAGTTGAAATAAAGAAGAAATTTTGTGTGAAAGTGACTGTTTTTAAAATTCCAGATGCAGATTCTGATATACGTGTTTGCGAGCTTCCTGTTCTTCAATCATGTAAGTATAAAATACTGATATGTTATGTCTACTAGATTTATTTATTTGTTTTTGTCGTCGTCGTCGTCGTCGTCGTCGCTGTTGTTGTTGTTGTTGTTGTTGTTGTTGTTTACAAGTCTTTTTTTATTTCTGAAATTAAAACATAATGTAAAATAATTTGTTGGCCAAGAAAAGATGGTTGTGGAAAAGCATATCTAACAGTTGTACAATTAACCTGCAAGCTAAGAATAGTTTTTAGAATGGTTTCATATCAGTTTGAAGAATTTTCCTAAATTATACAGCCAGTACGTGTAATATTTCATAGAAACACAGCTTCTTATAATTAACCTGATTTACAGTTGTTCCATTCAAAACTGTAAATGAGTAAGGAACTGCTTTTTAATGTAATGTATGAAATATGTATGTTTTATATGTGTAAGTAAATATATTATTATCTAAATAAGATGTTCAAGGTATTTGAATATACCGAAGACAAACAGTCAACAAAAATATTTCTTTAAATCTATTTTTCCGCGCAGTCTGATCAGGATCAATTCTGTTCGCTATCAGTTTCTGTAATTGTTACATGGTATGTAAGCGAACAGCCTGGATCCTGATCAGACTGCGCGGATGCGCAGGCTGGTCTGGTTCCATGCTGGTCGCAAACCCATTATGTTGGTTTTATCGTGACGCGGCTAATTTATGTTTCTATTTTATTTTAAGGCATATGGAGAGTCGCAGCAAAGTGAGTATATATTTAACATTTTGTTCGTTTAACAAAAATATCCCATGTTTTTGGTGGTTTTTTTTTTCTTGTTTTGATGTTGTTTGTTTTAAATTATATATTATCTTTACTAATGCGCATATTATGTTTGAATCATTTGTTTACAACGGGCAAATTATTTAGATTCAATAGTTTTCAAATGCTAATAATAATGATAATAATAAAAGCCAATCACGTTGACAGTAAAATTATACCCATTTGTGAAAAAATAAATAATTTAAAACAAGAAGAAGTATACGAGAGTTGTTCTTCTTACCCTAATGTCAATGTCTGTGTACGCGTTTAGATTTATATCAACCATTTAACTGCAACATTAGTGTAATGAAACGTCCAATGATTGAATTTACAACAGTTCATCTAATCTAGTTTCTAAAGGGCTTAAGTATCAAAATTCGAAACTTGAGCTACCAACAGTATGTGGACAGGGCATGGTCAGGTTGCACTGACTGGAAAAAGTGAATCACTTTCAATCCAATGATTGGCAAAAGTTAATGACTTTCAGTCCAATAATTGGCAACTTTAATCAACTTGAAAACGTTTAACTCATCTCCTCACTATGGTGGTTGATTTGGAACACCTTTGTGTGTCGTGTTGTCGCTAACGACAACACAACGTATATCGTTATTGACTTTTCGTCTTGCCGCTAGCAAAACCCGCCAAACGGTTGCCTGTCGCTAACGATACACATCAAACGCCTCAAATCGAAGGATTGGCTATTTGGATATAAAAGCAAAGCGACAGGGCGACATGGTAATTTCCGGGACATTTGGCGAAAAAAAGAAATTGTTACACGGGATCGAGTAACTTAATAAGGATAGAAAAATAACCTTACTTCATCTGTCACGTGCACGTTGTTTAAAATATCTAAAAGTTTCACTTTCAGACATATCTATAACTGTTGTGTTTCATGTAACCTCTTCTGTCACGTTATAAAAGATATCTAAGTTTCGCTTTTAGACATGATATAACTGTTGTGTTTCATGTTACATCATCTGTAACGTTATTTAAGATATCTAAGTTTCGCTTTTAGACATATCTTTTACTTTTGTGTTTATGCAACCTCATTTGTCACGTTATTTAACATATCCAAGTTTCGCTTTTAGACATGATATAACTGTTTTGTTTCATGTTATCACATCTGTCACGCACGTTATTTTAGTAATCTAAGTTTCTCTTTTAGACATGATATATCTGTTTTGTTTCATGTTATCCCATCTGACACGCTATTTAAGATTTCTAAGTTTCGCTTTAAGACATGATATATCTGTTGTGTTTCATGTTACCTCATCTATCACGCTATTTAAGATATTTAATTTTTCTTTTTTAGCCAAGATATAACTGTTTTGTTTCATGTTACCACATCTGTCACGCATGTTATTTATGTTTCTAAGTTTCTCTTTTAGACATGATATATCTGTTTTGTTTCATGTTACCTCATCTGTCACGTTATCTAAGATATTTAATTTTCGCTTTTAGACATGATATAACTGTTTTGTTTCATTTTACCACATCTGTCACGTTATTTAAGATATCTAAGTTTCGCTTTTAGACATGATATATCTGTTTTGTTTCAGTGATATACAGTGCAACATATTCGGGAACAACAATAACTTTTGACATCAGGATCTATACAGGTACAGATACAGTAGCCGCTGCTGCTATAGCAAATCCTACGACCGGGATAATCGACAGTGGGACATCTACAAATGCTTGCAAGTAAGTAGCGTTCGTTTCTATACAGAATGTTCTGATTTTTTTGGTCGTAATTTTGTCCTTAATTTATGATTATAGGAGTATGAAATATGTTGAGTTTGCATTTGTTGTAGTATTTCAGATTATTTATATTTTGAAACAGTGTAAAATTTGACGTATTTCAAATTATTGTTCTTTTAATGTTAATTTGACAGAATCTATAAATATCATTAATTTATTAATCATTTTTTCAGTATCTGTGTTTTCATTAATAATTATTTCTTTATTTTTGAACTGTAAAATGTAATAATGTCTGTTTGAAACCGATAGCTTGGTAATGACCTATCGCAACTTTTCGGCCCTTTCCGTACGTCTTCGGATATGGACGTTATTATAGATAATAAGCGAGGACGTTCCGATTGGGTAATAACGTTAGTTAGCAATATCCACTATTACCAAATGTGTTAATTATTTGTTTTACCGAAAAAAAAACCCTTAAAAAACCTACACAGTTTAAAAAGACAAAACAAAAAAAAAAAAAAAAAAAAAAAAAACCATAAAACAAACAAAAAGAAAAAGGAAACAAACAGACAACAAAAAAAAAAACAAAAAAAACAAAAAAACACGACACTTGTTTAGATATAAAAATCAGTCCAGGGGAGGTTACAAGTACGATACAAAATGCGTTTTCATGTAAAAGTAATGTGCCCTATGTTAATATAAGAAATATTCTCTCTGAGACGTGATCCTTAAATAGGAGTTTTACATTGAAAGTATATTAGACATAATATTATCAAAGTGCACTAGTTAAAAGGTACACACATATTCTATCCAAAATGTATTTTGAAGTTTTAACGTCCGAGTAACTTAAAAGTAATATTTGAAATGTCTTATGATAAACTTACGGTGTCCTGTTTTACCGTAGAAACTACCTATCGAAACGAATTTGAGCTTGCGTATAATGCTAATCTTTTGAAGAAAAATACTTCAGTATGATATGTACATAAAGTTAGTTCCCTATTCCTTATTCCTTTTTTCGAATAAGGAATAAGGAATCAGTTCCTTATTCCTTTTTCTAATAAGGAATAGGGAACTAGTTCCTGATTCCTTATTCAAATCTAAAAAAGGAACAGCAGAATAAGTATTTATTTAAAATAAAATTTATACCTCATTCAAATCATTGCATAAAGAATCTGCATAAATTATTTTGAAAAAAATGTTAAAGTCGAATAAGGAATAGGGAACCAGTTCCGTATTCCTTATTCAACTCCGAAAAAGGAACAGAAGAAAATACGTTAAGAAAGACACCAGTTGCAATTGTTATTGATAAATCTGCATTAGAATTGCAAGGATCAATAATAAAAATCATGAAATAAAGCATCTGTATAAAAAAAATTTTGAAAAAAAATGTTAAAGTCGAATAAGGAATAGTGAACCAGTTCCCTATTCCTTATTCAATTCCGAATAAGGAACAGAAGAAAATAACTAAAGAAAGACACCAGGTGCAGTTATTTTTGATAAATATGCATTATCATTTAATTTTAACCATGAAATATGGTGCTATATCAGTCAAATATATTTCATATTTTTTAAAAATAAATATGAAATATAAATATGAAAGTGGGCGGAGTCAAAACTCATATTTATTTTGAGGGACTTCTTTCGCCGATTTGTTTGAAAAAATCTGATAAATACAAAACAACTTTTTCTTGAATTTTGTTTTGAAAACTATCTAGCATGATGGAAAATGGCCTTACTAAAGAAAATTAATCCGAACACTAATATCTTTAATTCAGTAATTAACGCTGTACAGTCGTTTAAAGAGTTGTTTACATGACGTCACAATGTAGCGCCAAACAGCGCGTGCTTACGCATAAATTACTGCGCGCTGTTCAATTGGTGTTGGCAGCAAACAAGGGGATTCGTTACCATTTTCTTTGATAATGAAATTACATAAAAAGGTTATTTTTCGTTTCTTGTGAAATATGATATATATTTTCACTCAACATGATAAAATGCCACATATTTTCACTCGCCGTACCGGCTCGTGAAAATATGTGGCATTTTATCATGTTTCGTGAAAATATATACCATATTTCACGCAAACGAAAACATATCCTATTAGAATTGCAAGAATCAATCATTAAAATCATGAAATAAAGCATAAACACAATTTTTTTTTTTTTTTTTGAAAAAAATGTTAAAGTCGAATAAGGAATAGGGAACCCGTTCCTTATTCCTTATTCAACTCCGAATAAAGAACAGAAGGAAATACGTAAATAAAGACACCAGTTGCAGTTATTTTTGATAAATCTGCATTAGAATTGCAAAGATCAATCATAAAAATCATGAAATAAAGCATTGGAATAAACATATTTTGGAAAAAAATGTTTAAGTTCTTTCGACTTCTAATAAGGAACAAAAGTAATTACGTAAAGAAAGACAGAATAACTGCAAATGGTGTATTTCTTTACATATTTCCTTCTGTTCCTTATTCAGAGTTAAATAAGGAATAAGGAACTGATTCCCTATTCCTTATTCGACTTTATTATTTTTTCCAAAAAAAATGTAGATGCTTAATTTCATTGTTTAAATGATTGATCCTTGCAATTCTAATGCAGATTTATCAATAATAATTGCAACTGCCGTTTCTTTACGTATTTCCTTCTGTTCCTTATTCGGAGTTGAATAAGGAATAAGGAACTGGTTCCCTATTCCTTATTCGACTTTAACATTTTTTACAAATAAAATTATGTAGATGCTTTATTTCAGGATTTTAATGATTGATTCTTGCAATGCTTATGCATATTTATCAAAAATAACTGCAAATGGTGTCTTTCTTTACGTATTTCCTTCTGTTCCTTATTCGGAGTTGAATAAGAAATAAGGAACTGGTTCCCTAGTCCATATTCGGCTTTAACATTTCTTTCAAAAAAAATTATGTAGATGCTTAATTTCATGATTTTAATCATTGATCCTTGTAATTCTAATGCAGATTTATCAATAATAATTGCAACTGCTGTCTTTCTTCACGTAATAACTTCTGTTCCTTATTCGGAGTCGAATGAACCTGAACATTTTTTTTTCCAAAATATTTTTACGCAGATACTTTATTTCATGACATTTATGATTGATCCTTGCAATTCCAATGCAGATTTATAAAAAATAACTGCAACTGGTGTCTTTATTTACGTATTTCCTTCTGTTCCTTATTCGGAGTTGAATAAGGAATAAGGAACTGATTCCTTATTCCTTATTCGACTTTAACATTTTTTTTTTCAAAAAAATATGTACATGCTTTATTTCATTGTTTAAATGATTGATCCTTGCAATTCTAATGCAAATTTATCAATAATAATTGCAACTGCTGTCTTCTTTACGTAATTACTTCTGTTCCTTATTAGGAGTCGAAAGAACCTGAACATTTTTTTTTCCAAAATATTTTTACACCAATGCTTTATTTCATGATTTTTATGATTGATCTTTGCAATTCTAATGCATATTTATCAAAAATAACTGCAACTGGTGTCTTTCTTTACGTTTTTCCTTCTGTTCCTAATTCGGAGTTGAATAAGGAATAAGGAACTGGTTCCCTATTCCTTATTCGACTTTAACATTTTTTTTTCAAAAAAAAAAAATATGTAGAAGCTTTATTTCATGATTTTAATCATTGATCCTTGTAATTCTAATGCAGATTTATCAATAATAATTGCAGCTGCTGTCTTTCTTCACGTAATAACTTTTGTTCCTTATTCGGAGTCGAATGAACCTGAACATTTTTTTTTCCAAAATATTTTTTATGCAGATGCTTTATTTCATGATTTTTATGATTGATCCTTGCAATTCTAATGCAGATTTATAAAAAAATAACTGCAACTTGTGTCTTTCTTTACGTATTTCCTTCTGTTCCTTATTCGGAGTTGCATAAGGAATAAGGAACTGATTCCCTATACCTTATTCGACTTTAACATTTTTTTCCATAAAAATATGTAGATGCTTTATTTCATTGCTTAAATGATTGATGCTTGCAATTCTAATGCAGATTTATCAATAATAATTGCAACTGCTGTCATCTTTACGTAAGTACTTCTGTTCCTTATTAGGAGTCGAAAGAACCTGAACATTTTTTTTCCAAAATATTTTTACGCCAATGCTTTATTTCATGATTTTTAAGATTGATCTTTGCAATTCTAATGCATAGGTGTATTTATCAAAAATAACTGCAACTGGTGTATTTCTTTACGTATTTCCTTCTGTTCCTAATTCGGGGTTGAATAAGGAATAAGGAACTGGTTCCCTATTCCTTATTCGAATTTAACATTTATTTAAAAAAAAAAACAAAAAATATGTAGATGCTTAATTTCATGATTTTAATCATTGATTCTTGTAATTCTTTTGCAGATTTATAAAAAAATATCTGAAACTGCTGTCTTTCTTCACGTAATAACTTCTGTTCCTTATTCGGAGTCGAATGAACCTGAACATTTTTTTTTCCAAAATATTTTTATGCAGATGCTTTATTTCATGATTTTTATGATTGATCCTTGCAATTCTAATGCAGATTTATAAAAAATAACTACAACTTGTGTCTTTCTTTACGTATTTCCTTCTGTTCCTTATTCGGAGTTGAATAAGGAATTAGGAACTAATTCCCTATTCCTTATTCGACTTTCACATTTTTTTTTTCAAAAAAAAATATGTAGATGCTTTATTTCATTGTTTAAATGATTGATGCTTGCAATTCTAATGCAGATTTATCAATTATAATTGCAACTGCTGTCTTCTTTACGTAATTATTTCTGTTCCTTATTAGGAGTCGAAAGAACCTGAACATATTTTTTCCAAATTTTTTTATGCCAATGCTTTATTTCATGATTTTTATGATTGATCTTTGCAATTCTAATGCATATTTATCAAACATAACTGCATCTGGTGTCTTTCTTTACGTGTTTCCTTCTGTTCCTTATTCGGAGTTGAATAAGGAATAAGGAACTGGTTCTCTATTCCTTATTCGACTTTAACATTGTTTTCAAAAACATTTTTATGCAGATGCTTTATTTCATGATTTTTATTATTGATCCTTGCAATTCTAATGCAGATTTATCAAAAATAACTGCAACTGGTGTCTTTCTTAACGTATTTTCTTCTGTTCCTTATTCAGAGTTGAATAAGGAATAAGGAATTGGTTCCCTATTCCTTATTCGACTTTAACATTTTTTTCAAAATAATTTATGCAGATTCTTTATGCAATGATTTGAATGAGGTATAAATTTTATTTCAAATAAATACTTATTTTGCTGTTCCTTATTTAGATTTGAATAAGGAATCAGGAACTAGTTCCCTGTTCCCTATTCGAAAAAGGAATAAGGAACTGATTCCTTGTTCCTTATTCGAAAAAGGAAGTGAGGAAAAGGGAACTAACTTTATGTACATCAGTATGATAATCTTTATCAGATACATTGCCTCTTCAAGCCCGGTGCCGCTGGTGTCGGGAACTCAAGGATCAAATAACTATGTAGAGTTTGAGGTGGTCATTGATTTCACAGATTTATCGTCGGTAACGTTTGAAAGTGTTGGTAATACAGACCTTGGATGTACTTTCTCGGTGAGTGTTTTCACTTATCATATAATATGTGTTGGTAAGTCAAAGATGTAGGTCTCTTTAAAAATAGCTTTGTAGTCAACCAACAGTGTGGAACCCAGTCAATCCAACTGTACGGACGTACAGGTTTGACCAACTGTATACATGTGACAAACTGTATGGCGCCGTCTGTATAAAAAGGCCGGTGTCATCCTTTTCATACCTTATATCAGTTTAACCCTAGGCTCAATCTGCTTGACTGAAGCAATCTATGACGGTTTACCACCTGTATTGGGCCACTTCCTTCTGCACTGTGGTCAGTTTAACAAGGCTTCATAATGTCAGAAAACTCATTTGTTTTTCGCATTTTGACACGACAGACCCTTAAAGATAAA